ACATCAAATACTGGAACGAACACATCATGTAGTGTAAAATCGTCAAATTTTGAAACATCATTATGTAATTTTAAAGCCATATAAGGAATTGGCAAATCATCATTACGAAATAACAAAACCACATCATGTAATGAAACAACTACATTGCGTTAAGCCACATACACATTAAGTAATGTTAAAACCAGATTGCCTAATAACACAACCACATTAGATAATGATGAAACCACATCGAGTAATGACAAAACCGTATTAAGTAATGACAAAACTATATCAAGTCCATACGAAACCATATCATGTAATATCGAAATATCATTAAGTAATGACTATTCCATATTGAATAATATCAGAAAATCATTACGTAATGTCAAAACCATATTACGTAAAGACAAAATATCATCAAGTAATAATAATACAACATAACGTAATATCAGTACCACAGAAGACAGGTTCCATATTTTCTACCCTTTTTAGCTATACATTGAGGTAATTACAAATCTAGCTAATTTTTATTGTACTCGGTCTGATAATGCGGGAAATATTTGCGAACTGGACGTTTAGCAAACAACAATCCATCAATCAGATAATTTTTATTTTAGAATGACTATTTAATAGTGTTTTGTATCATTTATTCACCAGTGATGAACGTTAGGAGTATGTTCTAGCCTTGAAATCAATTTTATTTTGAACCAGTAGTCCACAAAAATGTGTAAATTCGTCTTCAGACACGTTAATTGATATTGGTTACTACCTGGTCTGGATTTTGATAGAAAATAGCAAATGAAATGCATAAAGATCTTATGTCATGGGTCACGCACGAACTGTCTTACTTAATAGGGATGCTTATGCGGCACATCAAAGATAATATTAATTTTTAACCAGACATTTACCCATTGTGCATTAGAATGTACCACAGAACTTAAATTCATTTGAATACACTGACCTCTTATCTTGTCGATTTGGAAGCTTGGCTTAAATCCACGGAAGAGACTTGGATGAAATTTGAAACACCAACAGCTCTTAATGTTCACGGGAACGAAGATTTTGCATGTACGCAGTAGTGATTAGATCATCAATGAAGTATTTTAAAAATTAGACGCCAAAGTCGAAACTAGCTCTAGCTCATAATGAAGAAAAAAGCAAGAAGGGTTCCTAATGTACCCGAAGTTTTGTTTGTGGACATGTGTTGCTGGTGGATGAAGTCGTACCTACGACTTAAAGCAATGTAGGGTCTACATAGATATGACGATTTAAGGGTTCGAGGTATGTACTATTTGAATAAACATATTCTCTTTGTAGAATATTTGCTGTCATTTCAACTTAATTCAAACTCAATTATGTATATTTGATTTTTTTTTTATCATTTTTTTTTTTCACTTCCCGTTCTGAAATTAATTATTCTTCTCAGTCAAGAAATTTAGAACCAATATTTTTTTTTAAAAACGTGGCAAACTATTGTAAAAAAGATAACCTCAATAGAAACGGAGGGAGGTCATGTCAAAAAATGTTAGAAGAAATACAGAAAAAAAATGTTAGAAAAACAACAAGGTCTTTCCACGCGTAGGGAAAGACCTGAAAAACCATATACTTTGCAGTGTTCTGTTGGTTTTTTTTTGGGGGGGGGGTGGGGGGGGGGGGTAATTTTCATGCCGACAAGGCAATAGTAGCTCGCAACACATTCTATATATCAACGATTTATTCCCGGGGTCGTCATATTTTAATGATTTGGAAGAGTTCTGAAAGAGAAATATCCATCTACCGAGTGCAGAAAACTTCCACCAAATTTAATAAAATAAGCAAATTGATAGATTTAATATTTGGTTCCTTTCCATATTCAAAACATTTCGCATTATTTTAGCATTTTCATTGTGTTAGAGATACATTTTGTAAGAAATTAAAATTCATTTTTTAGGGTGAAGAAAGATATCGTTTTTCCTTTATTGCAAAAACCACCTCTGGACTGGAGAGATTGACCTGTTAGTTACTGCTGGAAAAGAGTCAACGTTTATGAATCGACATGTCCAACACTTTCAAGAGTAATCTCGGCAGTGTTTGTGAAACTTATTTCATCGTTTGTGAAAAATCATAATTCGCTGTTGTCCGATAATTCAACCTTACAGTGATTTACATTTCAGTTGCTTGCCATGCAACTATTGTCGGCAAAATTAATTCACAGAGAGAAAGCATATCTTGTTTCGGAACAGAAAAGGAGCTTAAAATATTTCCTGAAAAAAAGTGATAATTGTTAAAGCCCGTGAAATACATGTGTACATCAAATCAATTTTATTATAAAAATAGAAAATTGTGCACTCAGAATTGAAATACAATTTTAGATTTTGTATTTTCTTTAAGAGCAATTTTAATGTATATTTTTTGTGATATCAACAATAAGTTTATGTAGAAAATACACAAATGAAACAATTAGGCTAATGTAATAATTATGTTTAAACATTTTATTTGTATTGCAAATTGTTTTACCATGAAAAAAAAGTTTTGGAAAGGCGGAATCTCAGTCTACTAAGTAGCATGATACTAAGAATACTATACTGGGAATGTATCATGACTATGAAGGTACACACCTCTTTATCCATCTTCGCTTGTTTTCTCGTTTTCAATGCGTTACATTTTGTTATTTCTGGGCCTTTTATGGCTTGCTATGCCGTATGGGTTTTGCTTATTGGTGAAGCCGTACAACGACGTATATATATAGTTGCTATAATACCTACGTCATTTGGTCCCTGGTGGAAAGTTGTCTCATTGGCAATCATACCACATCTCCTTATTTTATATTGTACATGTACCAAATCAAAAAATGATTGTTTAAAATTCGATAAGCTTTCTGAAAAGCTTTTAACTTGAATACAGCAAACAGTTAAATAAAATGCTTAGACCATGTGCAGCTAATTATTTGAAATCGAACCCTTTCCCTCCAGGGATTGTAAAAAAAAAAATGTCTTGCAATTGGATGTTGATGTGTTTCTCTCTTCCAATATTTCTTTAGAATTAATCAAACAATTTTTGCGAAATATAACCTAATTCCTACATCCCAACATCTGTTTGACAAATGCGAGTTACACATATTTTTGCTAATATTTGAAACATCGGTACTAAATATATTGTGATGGCATTTTCTTTCTTATGTACCTATTTTGTTTCCCTTTTTTGGAAGAGAGACGTATAAAAAAAATAATGTTTGACTCAGTCTCTTGAAATACGCATTGGTTGGTTTGAAATGGAAAAAGTAGTGTGTTTCTACTCAAAATTATTTTTAAATTTTATAAATCTATTTTCAAAATGTTTTCATTAAGTTGTCCCGAGATGACGTTCAGTAGACGGTTGTCAATCAATTTAAGAAGGCGGGGTCAACGGTCATTGGTATCCAATGAATGGTCCCACTGTACAAAGTGTTAAAGAGCTTTGATGCTCAAACACTTCGAATGACATTGTCATAAATGAATGACAGTGTTGTATAAACAACAAAAGGGACTACTACATAATTAAGATTGTGTTATCCTAATTCAAAATAAAGTAAATTAAGTTGAAATTGAACAGTAGCTTTGCAGCCACGGTCATGACGATGGGTGTAATCATAGGCGGATCCAGGGGAGGGGGGACGCTAGGGCGCCCGACCCCCCTTTTGTGGGAAAAATTTGATTATGCAAGGAATCACTGAAGCATGACTGTAGTGGGCTCCCTCTTATGGCATCAATGCCCCCTCCCTTATAAAAAGTTCTGGATCCGCCACTGGCAAAAGACGTCGTTGTTACTCCACCGATAATGTCAGACACGAGCCTTTACACAGCTAAAAACTAATACTTGGGATCTGTATTAGGTGAGTTTCATTATATATATTTCTATTTCTATGGCAATGGAACAAGTTAAACATAAATTAACAAGATAAAAAGGGAAAACTCACAAATCGAAGATATACAGACATGACAATGACTAAAAGAAAGCTAGCCATAAAGACAACAGTTCACGAAAGACTAAAAAGAAAACTAACAATTGAGCGACACGAGCGACACGAAATAAAATGGGGGTAAATCAAGGTGTTTAAAACGGGTAACCAGCTTCTACTCCATAAGTTACGCCCTTCGTTTTTTTGTTGTTATTTTTGTTTTTAAACCATCAGCTCCCATATGTATTTAATCGTGTGGCAACAATGGTCAAAGAACGTCGTTTACAGGGATCACTATCCTGTCAACACCAAAGTTGTTAGTCCAAACCTTGCTCGTAGCAAGGTTCGTATGATTCTGATCATAATTGACTAGGATATCCAGTTTTCCTGCAAAAGGTCTGAATACTGTCTGGGCACTCAGGCTTCATCCACCAATAAAAACAAAGGGAAAGAATTATATTATGATAATAATGGATGGCTGACTAACGTCCAGTGGCAAATTAAATGCATATTTAGGACGAGAACGCCGAGTCTGATTTTTAACGTGCTATAGATTATAAGACATGTCACCCTACCCAAACACATTTTTTATACTTCGAAACGTCCACTCTTTCTCTCACTCCTTAATGCCACATGTCTAGTGGAGAAGCAGCAAATACTAATTTTTAAACATTTGATCTGACCTTGCCAGAGATCGTTCCCACGACCTTTTGCAGTCGAGGCGAGATCGCTACCACGAGACCACCGAGTTGGAATATGTTCTTCAAATATATTGTAACTAAAACCTCTTTTAGTAAGGTTATAGTTAAAGTAGTCTCGGGAATTCTTTAACTACTTTATATTTGTAATATGTTTGGTAGTCAGTTTTAAAAACAGTATTTTATGAGTATAAACTGTGTTTCCCGTCTCATTACTCTCTTTATTCGTGTCTTGTCATTTAGCCATAAATATTTCGTAATATTTTTAGAATACAATATATATTATTTCTTTCTACACATTGCTTGAAAAGAACAAATAAATTGAATGTTCAGTTAAAACGTCCCAGAATTATACGAACAAGATCTGGTCCCATTATTATAATTCTAACAAAAGGAAATAAATCTCATATTTTCATCTTTTTTTTATTCAACTTTGAAAGTTACAAAAAGTAAACATTTCACTGGACGGAATTATTTGTATCAAAACGTGCAACATATCAAAAATGTCAAAAATTCTTCAACAACAATAAAAAATATATACATAAAATAACTTAATAAATGGATAACAATTATTAACAAATAATTAAGAATATCTTATGTTTCCTGAAGTGTACTTATACCACTAACAAACCAAGACATGGTAATTCAGAGAGCACAAAATAATGCATTCATTGCAACAGAGAAATGTTTCTTAAATACTTTCACGCCATAGATACAATCATTTTCAATACATTTTGATAAAGCGCATTAATTATTGAACATACCAAGTCAAAGATATATAAATCTGCAAAGAATCAAACAAATGAAATCAAGATTGGAACGTTGAAACATGTGATCAATATTAATACTTCATGGAAGTTTCAATTTAAACGAGACCAAGATTTTCTCTGAGAGTTGACTAAGGTCACCTGTTCAACTCTATCTAATACAATATACATATAATGCATAATATGCATATCATAAAAGCTTTTATCAGATTTATGTGCAATTCGCAAATTACATTCATAATAAAAACACAATACATTTAAACAAGTACAAAGTGTCACAAAATCTACTTGAAGTATACTGTTATTTGACCCGATGACGTAAGAAAGAGCTATTCATATAACTATAATTGTTGGAGTTGCAATCTGACCTGCATTTTTATATAATCATGTTAAAATTTAAAACAACTAATAGATGTGTCTTTAGGTTTAAATTTACATATCTAATACATTAAATGTTCCAACTTTGAACTGATGTACCAATGACTTACTGTAATATTACATTGTGGTTGGGTTTTATAGTGTGTGTATGGTTAACATAGTAATTGCACTACGAATTTATAATAAATACTAAATGCCTTTCTGTTACCCCCAAAACACCGGAAAGTTCTGTTTATGAAAGAAATCGTGTTAAATTGTTTGAAATAATTGATACAAACCATGCATTATTTCTTAAACGGACTATACTACTGGATATATTCCAAGTTGGAATATTAAAGTTTTATATTTTACTATACCATTCAAAGAAACGGAACGCTTCAAGTACATCTATTAAAATTTTAATGACAAGTTTTCCTATTTTGAATTGAGAGTATTTTAAATAAGTTCATTGCACCATGATATTACTTAGTTTGACCCAAACATTATATTTTCTTAGCTTATTTCATGTAAACACCGCAAGTTCGAATACAGGCCGTCGAATGACAAAGTAATCTAAGTCGGTCCAAAAGCATTCTGACGTCGAAGGAATCATACTCTTAACTAGTGCAAAAAAAACAAAAACAAAAACAAAAACAAAAACAAACCAAATGTCAGAGGAATTTTGTAGTTTGTGAACTCGCTTATTTGTTACAATTTATTGCTTATTGCCAGCTTAAGTGTTGGCATCCCCGAGTTGGGAACAATTTATTGCTCTTGGTTGAATTTTATAATTTTTATTTATAAGTGCAGCATTTCAAAAAAAGGTTTCTTGAACTTCAACAATCGGATGTAATTTATTCTGTCAAACAAGATCTAGAGCTGAGGTAGATATTTTAATTAACGTGATTATTATTTAAAAGTACATAGCAGTAGCAATAAGTAGTTAATGTAGAAGTGTTGTTTTTGGCAACAACAAAAAATCAAATGGTAATAGTAATTAAATGATATAAGTTTAACAATGACCCACAGATCTGCTATAATAATACACAAAAGTCATGTCTTCACTTTTTAACAACGTCAACTTAATGAAATATTGACTTATTAAAAATGTGTTCTACCAAATTATATACTGTAGATTTTAAAGCGATTTTGCATAAACAATTTTATGTGGTATCATGCCATTGGACAAGTTCTTCAGTCCACATTTAGTCTATGATCAAACATGTCATGTATATTATTAGCCTCTTTGATGAGAAAGTCGATATACCTGTGAATGATACTGAAAAGAAAAACAACCTTAATGTAAACAGACCGAATACACACAATATCAATATAAAAGCAAAAGTATGCTTTATATTGAAAATAATAATTAAAAAAAAAAAAAAACGATTCAAGACCATCCAATAACATTACGAATTTTAGCATTTTAAATAACTGCAGGAAATAATCTTAAATATTACTTAAATTAAAGTCGATCAAAATGCCTATAAATACAAGTTTAATTGACCATGAAAATCCTGTTACAACAGTTAATTTATAAAGTTTGGTAATAAAAAGAAGTGTAAAAAAGAATAAATATTATATAATACTCGAGTTTCGGGACATAATCAATTTGTCTTCAAACAAGAAGGGACATTTCCGCTCAATTTATTTCACATTAGGAGTATTTTGAAAAATAATTTATTTGATATTATTATTCATTTTATGCATTGCACTTGTCAAAATATTGCAGGGGTAAAGTTCTTTTATAATGTTAATCGAGGTGAAACTACTAAATCATTAAAGTCATGTTTAAAAGAAAAAGAGTTTAAAGAATTATGAATACGCTTCAATGACATAAGGTATCCGTATACATATAGAAAGCAATGTAAATAAGGGCTATCACTCTTAGAAGTGGAACTCAAAACTGTTTAGTATTTTGAAGATAGAAATTGAATAAAAACGAAGGCCTCTTGTGGAAAGCAACGAACGTGCAAGAATCTGAATAAAGGAGTTAATGTGTAATAAATCGTTCTATTTTTTCACAGAAAAAATGTTGCATTGAGACCTTTTCAATCTAAAGATAATTTAAAAGGTCTTCATATTTATAATCAAGTTTGAAGAAAGAAAAAAATGCCTGGAAATATTGATATCAGGTTGGCATAAATCTATTCTTTCAAAATATTCATAATAGTCCTTCATTTCTGCATAAATTTTGAAATTCACAACTGATCAAAATAGTCCAAACACTGCACTACACTTTTATAAGAACATGTTCTCTATAATTAAGTTGAATATAATAGTTTACAATTTAACGGTCGACTCGTGATGAATCTATCATTATGTCCATTAAGGATTTCAGGTGCCTTTATGTCAACAACAATTTTAGGCATTTCGCAACTTGGACCAGAAAATTAAGTGGTTAAAAAATATGAATGATATTGATCTTACACCGTAATAGATTTACAACCAAACAATAAATTACGAATAAACATCACAATCAAACTTGAAATAAATAAAAACTTGTTATTACAACTGAAACTAAACCATACGACATGTTTGTACAATTTTAAGAATATATTAATGCCCCATACAAAATATAAAAGAAAAAAGAAAAAACAGTCTCGTGCTTACTCCAATACCATACTCTTCTTATATCTGCTATAAACACATTCACAGTTCCTGTAAGATAAAATCAGTTTAACATGAGATTGTAAAACAACAATTTTATCTGCATCAACATTCTGATGTTCTCGGTGGTGTATAACGACCCCGAATACCAACTTTATTTTGTTCACTAATTACAAGACTTGTGACAGGACGAAAACAATAAATAAATGACAAAGTAATGACTAAACAAATCACTTTCAAAACTCTGCTTGTACCAATTTTGTTTTTCGGGGTACATTTATAGTGTTCTTTATTCGATTTACAGATTTCCAGTTCCTAATGTATACATTGGTATTTTAAAATATTTATTTTCTGTTTTCGTTCCCCCTTATTCATTAAAAAAACCCAAACTACTAGAGTGCATAAAGGTGATAATTATCTGAGGAATAGGAAATATATCACTTGCAAGTAATTCCATGGGACTGGGCATCCATCAAATGTCTGAATGGTGAATAATTACCAGAAACAAAGCCCAAGTAATAACTTAATATAAAATAAGGAGATGTGGTATGATTGCCAATGAGACAAATATCCAACAGAGTAAAAAAAATGGCATAGATTTAAGCAATAATAGATCACCGTATGGCCTTTAACAAAACCCATGCGTATAGTCAGCTATAATAGGCCTGTTGGCGTTGTAACCTAAATCGATTTAAGAATTTGAATCAATTCAAATAGAATGACCAGGTCAATGATTTTAATAGGACTTAATTGACAATAATGGGGGTCATACGTATTGGTATTTAAATTTTGGTAAACAATTTACACAAAACATCACACACTTTTTATTCTTCAAAAATTCGATGACACATTAAATGAATTCATAAGTTGGCCCTTTTTGATATTCAATTTATTACTTTTAAATTCTGTGTCAGTGTTCAATAATGATGTCTTTAACTTTCAACATTAGGAATTGATGACCCTCTTAAAAAGGTGACATTTCATAAACTCACTTTTCACGCAAACCCATTCCATTAATAAAACGTTTTTTTTGTTTTTTTTGGTAAACCGTTTATACCCTGCATATGTTTGAGTTAAAATGTCTAGTTTTTGCTTTACATTCAGTGTTCAAGACAAAATTTTAGACCATCTTTCCCCGTCTTTTGGGACAAGTGACTATGATATTTTACGTTTCCGAAAGGGAAAACTCTTGTTCAAATTTTTCTAGGGTAAGCTATCGGGCCATCTATCTGGAGTCTGAAATTCTCAATGTTGTGGATTACACTGTATTTCATTATTTTTCAAGGAACGTATGTAAATATAGCCGAAATATACAGAACTGATCATTACTTAGTTTTATATGTAAAACGATTTGATCGCATTAAACTCGAAAATCAACATGTCAAGTACATGAAAGAATAGCTATGTTTACGATCCAACTGTACACATGACAGATAATCTTCAAAGTTCATTGTGATATATAATATAAGAGTAATGAAGTAAAGATATGGTTGAAGATTTTAAGGAAGTATTCTCAATAAATACTTTCGTTGTGAATATTAAATTGACGATAAAACTATTGTCCTTTATAAAGTGCAATATCATAGCTATATCATAAAGCAAACAGATTTGTGCAAATCAAGTGTCTATATGGTGTTGTGGAAAACAAGTTTTGCTCTTCCATTATATTTTGAAATATTTTTATTTCGGTTTTTAAATGCTTAAACAATTGCAGAATAAAATTTTCCCTGATATAAATATAACCTTTATCTTTCATTTACCACATCAGAGTGATATATTTAATAATACATACCAGAACTTACATTGTGTTTAAGATGACTGTACATAGTTAACAAGATCATCAGATACAAGATGACAGGCACTAGGTGTGACGACGGACGTGTCGCATAATTGCTGAGCAGATAATATATCTAATGATAGTTTATTGCTTAAAGTTCCTCCCTCAAGTTTTGGATGATTTGGAGAGTTTGGTAGAGGTTGTAGTCTCGTTGGCGGTTTAATACTGAGCATGCAACTTGAGGTATGGCTGACTTCAGAAGTATTTGATTGGGAAAATTTTTCTTTCCTTTTCTTTTTCTTTTTATTTTTCAATGAATACGAATCTGAAATTGACGTTACAGTGCTCTCTAAATCAGACGTATAACTGTTTGAACATAAGATAGTTTCATTTTCGTTTTGAATGGGTGTACTCTCGAGCACAGCCATAGAGAAAGACTCGGCAATTTCTCCAGGGATATTAAGTCCATTTTTACTAGCACTACTACTCTGACTGAGTTCGCTTATCTCATTATGAGTACCCAAAATAGTTTTGGAGGTATCTGTTGTTAAGAAAGCTATTCCTGTTTTATTTGTACTTATATCTAACCCTGAGTCAGCCGCAGACGATATTGTAACTGACGTTTGCGCGTGATCTGTTGATTTCATTCTCACTTCCGGGTGTGAATTTGATCGTTTTTGCAATGTATCGTCTGCATCCTTTAAACTCTTGCTTGTTATAGGGTGTGACACTGAGAATGGGTCTAATTCGTTACTTGAATCGTAATCACTAGTATCACACTGATTAAGAAATTCCTGAGATCCAAGTACGTCACATTTCATTACTTTCGGATTGTCATATACATCATCACTGTCTGACAAACTTTCATCATCATCCATCGTGTGCATATGAACACCATGTGATGTAGCAAAAAATACAGGAACTTGAAATCCGGTATTTCGAACGCCATTTTCTCTGGCTTGTTCCTCTTTAAAAACTTTTATTTCGTCAGATAATTTAACTTTCAACTTCAATTTATCAGATAAACTGTCTTTCGAACTGTCTGGTGAATATTCTTTGTTAGCTGAGTCATCCACCGAATTTCTTTTTTTGCAGAAAACCATATCTTTAAATGTCTGCCAAATATCTTTATTAAACATGAACACTGTTAATGGCAGCGCCATCACATAAGAAAATTTCAACCACAATAAAGTAACGTTAGCATATGGACTGTAATATATATTTCTGAATGTCAGACGTACAATGAATGCACTTAAAAATGGCATTTCGCAAATCAACCATGCCAAACAAAGTACACCGACCATTTTTGTACCACAAACTTCAGTTAAATACTGATTTCGGTCAGTGTCTGTGTCTTTGGAGTATTGGTGTTGGGTCATGATAGTGTGTATATGGTCCCGCTGAGAAAATGCAGCCTTCAAAATGAAAATGAAGAAAAAAATCATTGCACAGAGTGGTAAAATGTAACACAACAACACATAGAATGCAAGAAACTCGCTGTTAATGTCTTCGGATTGAAGGCAGACGCTCAAATATATATATATTTCTACTGAAATCAGCCCAGTAATGAACGGGAAGCTAAACGCCACAGACTGTATCCAAGTATATATTATCATAAAAATTGTTCTTGGAATATTTTGTAGACTTACATATTTCTCTGGAACTATAGAATAAATAAATCTGTCAAGACTGAACACTGTCAGAGTCAATGGCGTTTCTATTGTTACTATGTTCATGAAAAAGGAATTAACCCGGCATAAATACATATCCAAATCTAAAGATGGCGATACAGTATATCCTATTGCAAAAGAAAAGTTCAAAAAACAATTCAACAAATTTGTGATCGCCAAATTTATTGTTATTATATTTATTACAATCGATCTGTGTTTCCTGTTACTTCCTATTGTAATTGTTAAAAGGAGGTTTCCAAATAATCCGACAAGAAGGAAAATCACCAAAAATGTTGTTTTCGCGGCTGTCGAAGGAACTAATGTAGAATTCCTTGTGTCCGAAGAATTTGCAGCCATATTTCCACTATTGATCTTTTACTTCCATGGCGTCAGCAATTTATTCCATAATCACAAATTCCACAAGAAATCTCTGAAACATGTTTACATTTTATCCATTTTAAAAATTGACATTATAAACACAAAAATATCGTACACTTTGTAAAGCATTTCACAAAATTATGTCCATAAACGTTATGTATGAGAAAATATTTAAATATTGGCAAGCAAGTTTAATCTTGCGATTTACCTACGTTAATTGTCACACCTGGACGGACAATCGATAGACCTAATCATATATATGACTCGGAAGTTTTTATTTTCCAATCCGGCATAATGTAAACCATGGATTCACCTTGAGTAATCAATAATGAAACTTTAAATTTTCTTTAAAATTTATGTACAAATATTAGGATAGTTTTGTAAACTTGACTTACATTAATTTTGTATAAAAATTAGTTCAGAAAACAAATGGAAAAATAATGAAATAACATGACGAATTTAAAAGGAATTTAACTTTTTGATGTTAACGTACGCTGAGAATTTGGGAACTGTATAAAAAATATTGGCGGATTGTAAATGAAACCAAATAAAATTATTTAAGAAAAAAGAAATAATGCAAAATCGTACTACCACTGAGTCTTTATTATATAGTTTCTTTGAATCTTTGGTATGGATCCATTTAACCGACCTCAGCAGTTTCAGTTTGGGTTCAATTCGATGTACAAAAAGTTAGTGCATTGGATTTGAAATTTTGCCTTTATTATCCGTTTACAGTGTCGAATCCTACTGGGAATGGAATATTAAAGAGTCTTTATATCATAATAATACTTGAACATATATTTTTATAATTTTACATAATTCCATGAAATAAAATGTTATTCAGCGATACTTGTTGCTTTTGAAGATATTTTGACACAAAATTGCACATTTTACACGTTTTTGTCCAAATTTGCATCGAAAGACATCACTAATCAAACTAAAATATAATAAGTTGTGTCCGAAAGGTAGCTCAATACTTCCAACATAATTTTGGTTTTGGTTAACGATGTCCTTCTTGTACATTTTTGAGGTAAATTCCCAAAATTTGCCGAAATCTGTCAAAATTGCAATTATGGGCTATTATAATTTGAAACATTGTTTATAAATTAGCCATACTATTGTTATAGAACCTTTAAGTACATTCATTGGACTGTGATACTTTGAATTTAAGTAGATTGAAAAACTTTTTGAAACCAGCCCTGGTGTTAAATAAATTCAGGGGGATTTAGCCTTACCTCTTTGTCGTTCTTAAACCACTTTATTATCCGTCTTTAAGGTCAACGAGAAGGTTCTGACAAATTATATGCAAACTTCTATTCACGAAGAAACCCCTCAAATAATTAAGCTGCGGTAATATCTCGCATGATATATTCAGTACAGTAACTGTTCTTTTTCACACCGTTGAGGTGTGGTTTTCCACCTATAATTTGAATTCTCGTTTGAATTCTTTAATTAAAAGTTTTTAGTCCATGTATATACTGTATGCAATACCAGGAAGTGAAATATAAACTAAATATAAAAGACTACGGTGTTCACAATGAATTTCTTTTATAATAATTGTGGACCAAATTTCATTTGGCAGTAGTGTTTTTCCTGTTGAACCAGCCTGTCTACCTCTCCTGATTTTATTTTGGTGTGCGATGTTCCTTTTCAGCTCATGGGATTGCATGTAGCTTTTTTATATTTATTTTCAATTGTCATATCTTTTAATTGACGGTGATTTGGTTCATTCTTACTTCTTACTTTTTATATTTAAAACTATATCCATAAAACAAGTTCACCTAACTTACGTCTCCTTTTTATTTATACAAAATACAAAATAATTTCAATCAACAACATTACATCTCTCTCATTCTAAATATGCGATTATGTGTTCGACTAATTACTTTTTGATTTAATGTTTTGAAATTTCAAATATTTAACTCAGTATAAAAATATTCCCGAATTAAAACAGTTATCATCCAAGGGAAATGTTATTCATGAATCCGAAAGGACAGTTTTATAAATGACCGTTTCTTCATTTTATTTTCCTAATGCCAACCGGTCTGAAAAGTCTGTGATCAGCAATATCCCAAATGATTGTGAGTTTGTTATGGTAAGAACATATATATTTGTTACAGTGGTTCCCAAACATTATTTGTGCAAAAAAATAAGTTTCGAAGTGGGGTAGTATATAGTCTCGTGCGGTGTGATGCATACTCAGCGTCTGTATAAATGATAGAAGGTCATTTACGGAAGCATCACGAAGAGTAGTCGATGTATAAAGAACCAGACTAATTAAAAACCGATCTCCCATCGCTCCCGTTTTCTGATACGTCGCGCTCACGCGACCACGACTGCGTCTACGTCGAGGAACAGAGTTGAAAATATTCATTACATTCACCGAACTCCAGCAGGGACTAGAAAGAACACCTTAACCATAATTTTTGCCATTACAACTACTATGTACAAGGTGTCGCAGTTTATACTTCCTGAATCTAGTATAATAGTTTTTGTTTGTCTTCGGAGAGGTGTTGATAGTCCTATGATACATGTTTTTTTCGAAGATGCGAACTAGCATAGAAGGGATTGGGTACATAAAATGTTGATAAACAATGTCATTTACATTGTTGTTACTAGTAATATCTGATTCATGGCCGCACATTAGTTTGTTTAGCAAGCCTTTCGTTTCATTGAAATATGAGGAAATAAACTCATCACAGATACCAGGATTAAAATTGTACGAAAAACGACCGAAATTGACTCTACAAAATGTTACGGTCACGAATTGGTTGACCGATACGATGTGTCAGCGTCTGTGTCTTAACTCGATAGATTCATGTTTTCACGGTCTTTCATCTTTTGATATCACTCATCTGATATTCAGTTTTATAGATTCAGTCATATTCCCAAGTGTGACATTTTGACTAAGCGTGTAATCACATGACAGGTGCAGCATGCATGTATGGTCTATCGATACTTCCGGTCTCTCTCCTTTTGAAGTGTTTGCGATTCCCTCAGTTTCTGTTTGTTACCTTAACTTGTATCTTCTTAATCGATTTATGAGATTTGAACATCGGTAAACTACTGTTGCATGAATTTATAAACCAACTTGTCTGTAAAATTGCCAACTCGGAGCACTTGAGTTCGACCCCGACTTTTGGTTGGGTTCGTATCGCATTGTCGTTTGTCTCGTCGTCGTTTTTCCTTTTGATCAAAGGGTTGTCTGTTTTTATTGGACTTATAGCATGTTACTACAAAAGCACTGACTATCGCAGGATACATGTCACTCTCACTTGTTTAGCGCCAAATTAATCTAGGATCTGTTCGTTGGAAAATTTGAACAAAACAAAACACAAAACACAATTCAAGGAAAAAATAGTCTCATCTCATTTCCATACAAGTTATTTATCTCGAAGAAACATTTAACTTCTCCCGTTCATAATTGTTATTATCTTTTTCTGTGCTTCGTTCGTAATTGTTTTTAGACGAAAGTTTTATATCTTATGCTATTTTTTTTATATAATTATTAATTATAAGAAACCACAATAGAAAAAAAGGAGATGACACAAGATGACAAGTGATCGAAAGACCGACAAGTTAAGAAAATAGTATAGAACAAGTCAGCTAAAATGAAACTGATACATATTTTTTTTTTCTCTCGAGAATGTCATCATAGTATAAGTTATATTTTTAGTTGAATATAAGTAAGACTTTAATGCATTTCTTAAAGTTGATAAATTAGTTGAAAATTAATTCGAAATACAAGCATAATAATAATTGTTAATGACCCAGATCTATCAGTGCAGGCTATCACGTCATAAGACCTACCCGAAGACCAATACAAGGTAATATATTACATACCATATTGATTGATCATTTAATGTCATTTTAGCCAGGTTTAAATATTGATCAAACATAAATGTACACATTTTAACATAAGCATTGTCTAGACCGAGTAAGAGGGATTGACTAAAAGTAAAAAATTAAACATTAGAAAATATAAAATTAAAGTGAACTGCTAAAACAACTAATGAGTCAAATAATAACAAGACATCAGAAAAAACCCTAAACGTGGAAATAAGCAATGTGCATTTAACATTTGATAGTGAACATTTTGGTTTAATGTATGTACAAAATGTATGGTAAAAAAAAATAATCTGACCTAGGAAAGTGATTAGTTACGAATTCACATCTCAAAAATTAAATGATAGCACAAAGATATATACAGTAAACACATTAGAAACCTCAACTTTTGAAATTAGGGACTACCATGACCACCCCACTCTACGCCTAATCCCCTCAAAAAAGAAAGAAAAGGAAAAGGTTTCATTGATTTCCCATGTAATCAATTGCGTCTTATCTTTGATGTTAATTACGATTTGATTACATCTCTTTCTTAAACTCTCCATTGCTAAACTAAGAAATTATTATCAAATTATGTTTCCAACTACCACAGGCAAAGTAGACCTCAGATGGATTTGGCTATTATTTTTACGTCCCTTTTGGTCATATATCTTTTCACGTGTTTCGGTAATTATACATCCTTGGCTTTCAAATGTTTGGCTTTGAGTATTCCTGATGACGGTTAATCCAGAAAAGCGCGTCGGACGCATACAATGTATAAAGTGTTACTTTCCCTTTCTAACACTGGTATCATTGGACCGACACCACTGCTGGTGGACTATTAGTCCACGAGGGTATCATTAGACCGACACCACTGCTGGTGGACTATTAGTCTACGAGGGTATCATTGGATCGACACCACTGCTGGTGGACTATTAGTCCACGAGGGTATCATCAGCTTAGAAGTCTGTGCTTCGGTTCTGATATGATTTATAATTAAACTGTCTCTTAAATTCTCCGTGATAAATTAAAAAATTAAGGCAGAGTGTTGACCTTATATGGATTTGGCTATTATTTTAAGTCTCTTTTTATTCATCACGCTCCTCATGTTTTTAAGTATCTATTTATTCTTGGCTTTCACATATTTGGGTTTGAATGGTCCTGATGACGATACTTCTAGAAAAAAACCACTTGCAATTCTGCACACATGATTACTTGCAATCGGCATTTGTCAAAATTGAGGGTTTTTTCTATTCTGTTCAAGACTGTTGTATAGAACCTTCTTGGGAGTATAGTGCTGAGCACAGGGTGATTTATAGATCAACAAATGACTTGATTTTTGTATTTGCGAGTTTCCGTTTTTTTCCCTAAAATTATGTACTATACATG